TTCCACGAAGTTGTATCAACTCTAAGTCATCCGTACAAAATAATAAATGCAAGGATCATTCAACCATTAAATAAATACACTTTGACATCGAGTATTATTGAGTTTGTACTAATTTGATACTCTTCTCCTTTCGTGTCGTTTTAGATTGATTTTTTTATTATTAATTATTTATTATTTTAAACTATTATGTCAATTATTATATGATATAAAAGGTCTTAGAGAATCATGAAAAGAGAATAACAAAAAAATTGTATAATTATAAAAAAAAGGTACTATATTAAGGTATTTGATTTAAGAAGATTTGAATAAGAATAATATCTACATATATATTGAAATAGGTTGATGAAAAAATCATTTTTAAAAAATTAAAAAAAAAAATGGGTTAAATGTTTGACTTACCAGTTATAGAAATGGTATTGAAAATATAAATTTGCATTAATTTTGGGTAATCACGTGCTTAAGAAATTCTATTTTAAAATTTAAGATCATAAAATTTTGGAAATGCAGCTGAAAATTTGTATCAAATTTTAAAGGAAATACGATTTGAATTTAAATTTTGCATGAGATCTTTTCTTCACGTGCATGGTAAATTTGTTTAGAAAATTTTAAATCATTTATGGTCAACATATTATTCACCTATAAAATTGGTGTCATCTTATTAGTTTGAAATTAATTGTACAGTTTCCACATAGCAAGGATTCTGTTTTGAAAATTTTAAAATGTTTATATTTATGAGTTTTGTTTAGTTTGTATAACTAATCAATATTATATTTTCTTGCAAAAACGTTTAGTTTCATCAAATTTTATTTATCTTTATAATTTATAATTGATTAAACAAAATCATGTTGCATTATTGTGTTTCACATAGCACTCACTGGAGTTCATGCAGACAAGAATGTGTTGATTTCTAGAATGATTATAACTCTTTCCAATGTCATATTTTCTTTCAAGTTCCAGAGGCAACAATTCTCATTATGGACAAGAGTTAGGGACAATCGTTATCGACTGTTGGTTTATTTCTTTGTTTTTTAAGAAGACGGTGCTCAATGATGGGCAATTATACGTTGTTTTCTCTCGTGTCATCATCTGTAGTTTGAAAATACTAGTCTATGGTGACGATAATTCGCCACCAAATCAAATCAAAAACCTTGTGTACAAGGAAATGATCAATAATTTATGAATTACTTAATTTGTATCCGACTCATTTACGTTTGTTACATATATAACAGGTCCATTAAATTTAATATTCAATACTAAAAAAAAGTTTATGTGAAATATATCATCTCGTGCATCGCACGGGCCGCGACTAATTAGACAAAATATAATTTATTAAATATCTTGCTTTTTTTTCACCTATTTGAATATCTTCATTATACCTCAAGTAATTTCTAATATTAAATAATATTATCATTCACAAAAATACTATTGTACATTGAGGTACTATTTTTAATAATACAAAGTATGATTACAATTATATTGGCTCTCATTTAATCTACATTTTACATATTTACAAGTTACAACCTTTATGATTGTTAATTGTGATGACATAAAAAGAAAATTATATGATGTTAAATTCTCACCAAAACCTTTATTTGATTAATTAATGAAATTAAATTCAATAATAATTATTTTTCCAAGTCAATGAACGTGAGCGGAATAGTCTGATGAGGTGCCCTTGTTTGACGGATCTAAATTCAATAATTTTGGCCGTGACGTACGGAATTGTCCTTTTTGTAAGGCTGAAAATAGATGGCGAGTGCCCAAAACTACGTCGTTTCACTTTAGCGATAAATTAAAATTATCATCCGTACGATTTGTGTGAAGTACTCGCTGACACGCTATAATTCCACCAACATGACGGCTTTAATTTTATTTTATTGTGGATGTAGAAAATTCTTGTTGGAAGACTCACACACCATTGTCAGGTGTGCTATCCGGTTCGACCAACGAATTAGTCGGAGCATAGCTCCGGATACCGTGTCCGGCTACCAAAAAAAATATATATATATATATATAGTGATTCATATGCAATTAAAATAGTCTTGTAATGTTTATTTTCACTAATATTTTAATTTTTAAAATATAATACCATTGTATAATTTATGATTTTAACATTATATATTTATATGCATATATACAATTTGTAATATTTCATTTACATTTGTGCATGCGCAGAAGAACAAATACTGATTGGAAATAAAGAATGAAAAGAATCACATAAAATTTGTAATCGGAAATGAAAGATTTTGTTAAAAGAAGTGATATGTAGGGGTGAGCAAAACCGAGCCGAAACCGAAAAACCGAACCGAACCGATGTATTCGGTGCGGTTCGGTTCGGTTTTTTAAGATTCGGTTTTCGGTGCGGTTAAACATTTGGAAAACCGCACAAGTTTCGGTGCGGTTCGGTTTTTTGTCCGAATGATGCGGTTTTAACCGAACCGCACCGAACACAGTTTTTTTTTTTTTTTTTTTTTTTTTTTTTTATATACAAATTTGAAATATGTTGACATGTTTGTATTGTAAATATACATGCTCATTTTAGGCCTTTGGTTTAAGATGACTAACATTAACAATAAATAAGTAAAGTAATAAATAATAACAATAACAATTAAAAATTAATAACATTACATTAAATCTAATTTCTTGCCTTAGTTTTTTTTAAATAAATTTTGGGCTTTTGGTTTGGTAATGTTGCACATTAGATGATGATGATGTAGCTTCATTTTATTTTGGTTTTTTTTTTTAAAAAAAAAATTGCGGTTAACCGAAACCGAACCGCACCGAACCGAAAATTTCGGTGCGGTTTCGGTTCGGTTTTTCTACATGTTTCGGTGCGGTTCGGTTTGGGTAAATGAAAAAATTCGGTTTTCGGTTTTTTGCGGTTCGGTGCGGTTTTGCACCGAACCGCACCATGCTCACCCCTAGTGATATGTAGTAAAACAGTTTTGCTATGGAGTCATCGGATCGATGACACGACTTCTGGAGTCATCTACGCTTATTCAAAAAATAGTGTATTAACACGTATCTTACAATAAATGCATTTTGGACAGGTGTCGATACATTAAGTGGTGGATGACTTCCAGTGGCGAAACCAGGATCCCGTTTCGGGGAGGGCCCAATTTGCCTGTAAAAAAAATTTCACGACAAAACCAAACACAAACACAAAAATAAATGCAAACTATTTAAATTATCGTTCAAATAGCATTATACAAAATAAAAATACAATCTAGTCCTCCGACCATCCCCCGGCGCACTATTCCTACTCCAGCATCGGAAAGGCGCCCAAAGAGCGCCCTTCCAGTTCCAGCAAAACCCCCCACTCCTAGTTCAAAATTTTTTTTTTGAGGGGCCGACGCCTCTCCAACCACATATGTGGTTTCGCCCCTGATGACTTCATAAGAAATTCATCTGATGCTCCACCGAATTTCAGTATAGCCAAGATTGAAATTACATATGATTTAATCAATATATTATTTAACTCCTTAACAAAACAAAACATCCATCATATTATAGATTGGAGGTACCTAATTCATACAAAAATAAAATAAGCTAAAATAAAAAGGCAATTGTATAGTGGAAGGGTGAATCATTACTGCCTAAAGTATACAAACACCCAAAAAAATTGTCCACTTTTTGCACCTAATCTTCTTTACATAGTATTGAAAGCAATTATAACTTTTGTGATAAAAGAAAATGACATACACATACATTTTATATTTTTGGGTGTTTACTTTTGTGTGCTTTGATTTTTCTGATTTCAAACTTTATGAAAAATAAAGCAATTATAAAACAAATATGTTTTTTTTTTTCACAATTCTTTTTCTTATCCACTAAAATGTTTCTTTTTATTTATAGATTTTATGACTAGAATTGTCTGTTGGTTAGACTGCCTCATACATAAATTCATTTATATTTGTACAAGTTTTTATGCTGAAAAGGAAAAAAAAAAAAAAAAAAAAAAAAAAAAAAAAAAAATCTAACAAGAAACTAAGCTATTCAATTCAGAATGTGGTCCATTAAAAGATGTATCCTAGAATTTACTTATCACAGAAAAATGGACAAAAATGTTATTTTATTTTATTTTATTTTATTTTTGTGGTTGTATTTACACACACACACACCCAAAAAAAAAAAAAAAAATCGTAAAATGGCCAAAGTGTAAAATGAAGAATTGTAAGAGCTGAAATTAAAATTTATTGGTGTCTTTGACTTTGCCTAAATTTGAAAGGCTAGAAATATATTCCATTTTTATTAAACTATTCAATACATACAATTAATTTATGTGTTTTAGACTTAGGTGAATTCCACGAAATTGGGAGAAAGAATAATCACAAAATATATTGAGTTCGTGCGGACCACAGCAAGCAGATGGATATTTTGATCTTTTAATTTTATTTTATTAAGTCTTGGAGGCATTTTAGGAGCAAAATTATAATAAATACAAATACAAAAAAA